CTCAAAAAAATTTGAATACTGACTTGGGGACAGAACAGAAGACGGGAGGGAAGAGCCCCCAGGTGAGTGGACACACAGGATCCCCTGCGCTCCCTCCCTGGCCGGCACCTGCCCCCGAATGGTTGACAAGCAGGAGGCAAAGCGCAGCTGGCGACCCTCCTCCTGCGGGGCTGATACGGAGCTCTGTCACTCACACATCTGTTCGAGCTGCCCCTCCCTGTGTCTCCGTTGGCAGTGTGGGGTAGGCACGGGCTGTGGACACCTGAGCCCCGTCCCCTGGGGCTCTGGCCCTGCTTAGCTCTGGGCAGTCCTGGCCACAAGAGTGGGCATCTCACAGAGACATTTCAGGGACCTTCTTTAGGGAAGATTGTTAGTCACCGTTGGTTCTCTCTGTCACCCCCCTGATTTGATGCAGCGTGGCTGGGCTCGGGGGTGGGTAGGGGCTGAGGGCTGAGCAGGACAGCCGCCGGGGAGTGCCTTTGCTGAGTTTGGCCAGGGAGTCTACTCCTCTGAGTGTTCCGCCCTCCCCTTTCTTTCCATGCTCTGCTGGCCTGGCCATGGCCTGTGGCTTTGGGGCCTGACCATGGTGAGGCCCCACCCACCTCCGTCTCCAGTACCTGAGGCCTGGCGCCTCTTACAGGCTGAGGACTCTCCGGGGGTGCCATGGTTTTTGGGTGGCGGGGCGGGCCGAGCCTGGGTGGTTGACGCGTGCTGCGGCGGCGCTCCAATCCGCTCCCCGGCTGACTGTGGGGTCTCAGCTGTTAATCACATCTGCCCGTGGGCCTCGGCGCTAATCTTCGAGGTCAGACAGCAGAGGTGATGCGGGCGCGCGCTGCCTCTTGTCATCCCCAATCCAGATCCGTTTCATTGACTCACTCCTGGCTGAATACGCCAGTTAATTATAGCAATCGCAGACCTTCCTGCTCCAGCCACGCGGTGAGAATAAGGGTTGGAGGGCCGAGCGCCAGCCTCGCTAATGGGCCTGGCGTTGTGGGGGCATCAATCGAGGCTGAGCTGGCTGGTGAGCAGCCCCCCCAGCAGGGATAAGGCCGCTGAGTGTGCTGAGTGTCGATGGCCTCCCCTGGCCCCAGGCAAGTCCCTGCCCCAGAGAGGCTTCCCTCCCCTCCTGTCTCTCTCACTTTCTCACCCACTGGTGCTCAGAAACGAGGCTTAGAGACTCGAGTGGCCACTGTCTTGGTCGTGGCGAGGGTTCTCTCTGGGAGGAGGGGTTCGGAGGGATGGAGCAGCGCAGAGTCTGGAGGCAGGCAGCTCTCAGTCTCTGTGTACCCTCATGCGCCAGGGGCTGCAAGCTTCTCCCTGTTTGTAGAGTTGGGGTACAGAGACATCTCTGAGGTCCCTGGGGCTTGGCACATAGTGGGGCTCAGAAGCTGCTGCTCCCAGCTCCCCGCTCTGTCTGTCCGGTCCCCAGGGAGGACCCAGAGCACACTTGGCCGTTGTTCCCAACTTTTCTGCTGGGCAGCAGGAGCCCAGGCCACGATCGGTCAGCAGCGTCCGCCTCAATGGGTGGCATCTCTTGGTGTGTTTCTTTCTTTGTTCAGCTCCAGAGCGCAAATGTCCACATTTTCCCCACTCACAGCTGCTGGAATCTGGACAGGGGCACCCTGGGTTTGGGCTGGGTGCAAAGGAGGGCTTCCAAGGGGCCCAAGGCCGGGTGTGAGCATCGCAGAGAGGTGGGGTGGGCGTGGTCACCCGTGCCTGTAAGCCCAGTGCCGTGGGCCACTGACATGGGAGGATCAATTGAGTCCAGGAGTTCAAGACGAGCCTGGGCACCATAGCAAGACTGTGTCTCTACCAAAAAAAAAAAACCAGCCAGACCTGGTGGCACATGACTTTAGTCCCAACTCTTCAGGAGGCTGAGGTGGTAGGATCCCTTGAACCCAGGAGATTGAGGCTGCATTGAGCCCTGATTGCACCATTGTACTCCAGCCCAGTCTGGGCAACAGAGTGAGATACTGTCTCCCAAAAAAAAGAGAGAGCTGGGCACAGTACTGTTCGCAGTGGCCACACGGTGGGGCCCAGCTTGTGTGCCACCCACTGAGAGGCAGAAGAGCAAGGAGCCGGTAAACCGAGGCACACTGTGGACTGTCACTCAGCCACAGGAAGGAGGGAGCTTCTGTAAGCCACTGCGCTGTGGATGAGCCATGAAAACACAGCTCCCAGTGACAAGCCTGACAAGAAAGGCCACGCAGCATGGGATTCCCTTGATGGGAAATGTCCAGAACAGGCCCCTCCGTGCGTGGGCTGAAGGAGAGGGGAGGGGCTGCTTGTGGGTAGAGGTTCCTTTTGGGGCGAGGGAGATGCTCTTAAACGGATTGTGGTGAAGGCTGCACAACTCCGAACGTGCTGGAACCGTGGGACCGCGTGCTTGATGGGTGAGTTACACGGGGCAGAATCGTAGTGCAGTAAAACCGTCACAGCTGGAACCAAAGAGCCGTGGAAGTTCCATGCCAATTTTTTTTTTAAGAGAAAGATCCTTTCCTTAGTTTTTTTTTTTTCCCCAAAAACTTAAAGCGAACTTGATCTATCTAAATACGTGCAGAAAAAGACATACCCGCCAGTGTCTGGAGCAAACCCACAGATCAGGAGGGCTGAGGCCGGTTCTCCTTTCCCACCCTCTGCCCCTGAGGTGAGGGGCGTGGAGCCCTGCCCTGCCGCCTGCGTGTCCCTTCCCTGGGTGGATCTAGTAGCCCGCTGGGCACAGTGCCCGGTCCCCGGTGCTGGCCCAGCCGGCTTGTGTTGGAGTTCTCAGGGTGTGAGCAGTAGTGCTGGTCCATCTGGGGCTGGGTCACACCTCAGGGCCGGCAGCTGTCAGCCTCACTCCCCACCTGGGCCGGGTCCTGATGGGTGGGAGCGTGACAAAGGGGGAGCCTTGGCTTGGGCAGTTCAGGGGTTGCTGGGCACAATGTGAATGTATCTGGGCTGCTCTGGGCATAGCGGATCTGGCTTGACTGAGTGTCTGCTATGGAGCGTCTGTGTCCAGTTGTGCAGGCTGCACACAAGCCTAGGAATCTGCCTTAAGAGAGGCCCAGATAGCATTTCTGCGGGAGGCAGCAGGACCGTGTCCTGGGGACGGGGCAGCTGCCCCACTCCAAGGGAGCAGCTTTTGGAGAGCACAGCTGTATTTTGACATCGGGGTGCCCATGGGGCCTCTGCCTCCTGCTCACCCCACTGAGGCAACTGGCTGGCTGAGGCCTCTGAGCACCCCTGTAAGGAGCAGTTTTCTTTGGTGAACGTACGTGTGCACCCTCAGGACGCAGTGAAGGGTACGTGAGGCTGCTTCTGCCCCGGAAGCAAGGCCAGTTCTGAGCAGAAGCTGGGGAGGATGCCAGGAGTCGCTGGCCTGAGGTTCTCTTTCTGGGAAGGGTGTCTGATGCATGCTTCTACCATGCCCTGGGCTGCAGGTGCCTCCCAAGTGGGGCTTTTGCAAACAGAAGGTGCTCAATTGTACCACGCCTCCTCAAAGGGCAGCGCTGATTCCCATGAGCTCCCAGCTGCTGTGACCCAGCATCTGGGTGCCTGGATGCCTGTTGCTGCTGGTCGGTGGGCGTGTGCCTGGTCCTGCCGGAGCCCGCCCCGGTGGACGCTGTGCTGTGGTGCTATATGGGGCACCTCTCGGCCTGCCCTGTTGGGAACCTTGGCCTGTGCTGGACCCTGGTTGCGTGCTGTGTGTGGCTGTTGAGGGTGGAGATCCGCCCCGGGCCTGTGTCAGGGGCCGGGGAATGGAATGTGGGGAGGGTGAGCCAGACACTGACCTGTGTACAAATCCACAGCCCTGTGAGTGGTTGTGTGTGGGGGGGGGGAGTGACCGTGCACCCCCTGGGTCTCATCAGTCTGGGCAGGGTTTTTGTGGACCCCCAAGCCACAGAGCTTCCGGGGCCTCAGCCTCTGGGGAGGTGCTCCCTCCTCAGTCACTGGGATTTGACCCCCTGGAAGCGAGGGTGATGCCTGCGTGAGGGCAGGAGGACTCTTGGCACAGGGGCCTTTGGACATCCTCACTCCCGTCCCTGCCTGTCCATGCCCCCTGCCCTTGCGATGTCCTCTTGGCTGTAGCCAGCAGTCACCCAGGCCCCGAGCCCTCTGGCCTTCCCTGTGCCCTCCCCCCATTACCAGCCAGGCCGCAGCCAGCCGTTCGGTCCCCACGCCATCTGCGAGGCTGAGGGGTTCTTTCTGAGGTGGTGGGCGAGTTCTGGGGTAGGTCGTGGTGCTGGATGTAAACAGTGTGCCTACGCAAACCCCCTGAAGTATACCCTTAAAGACGGTGAATTATGTTTGTTTCTGACATTTAAAAACAAATTCATCTTTAAAAAAAACTCTGCCAGGGTCACCCTGAGTGGCTGCCATTGGGCTTCCTCGGCCACCACCGTGTTGCGTCTGTGCTTGGCTGAACCCCCACCTGCCTCCACAGCCCAAAGGGAACCCCCAGAGGGGCACTTTCTTCTGTAACCACCACACCCACCATGCACTCGGGGGCTCGCTCGGAACACTCGGGCTTGGGGTCTTGGCTGCCCACGTGCAGGCTGCCTCTCAGCGGGGCAGGGTGCTTGGCCCGGCTGGCCTGTGTGTCCCAGGACGTCCACAGCCCCAGCTCATGACACCACCTAGAAACGTGCGCTCTCCTCCGGGGCTCTGTGTCTGGCCTGGGAGGTGCCACCTTTGGCTCTCACTCAGGGACGTCGGGCTGGGTCCTGCGTGTCCTGCCCCGGCTCCTTTCTGTCTGGTGGCAGTGGGTGGCCCTGGTCACCAGAGCATCTGTGCTTTTTGCCGAGTGACTAGGGCCCGTGGGGTGAAGGGATAGGGAGTGCCCGGGGCAGGGTAAGCTGCTGACCTGATCCGGCCTCAGGAGGGGTGTCTCCGCCGTCCATCGGTCTTGGGTAGGGGCCCACGAGGCTGGTAGACCTGGTGCTCTGGGGGCTCACTTGGAGCCCAGTGAGTGGCTGTCACCATGGCTCCTGCTCAGTCTACCTTCTTCTTCTCCACAGGGTCCTCACTGAGCAGCGAGTCGTCCCCCGTTTCCTCTCCGGCCACCAACCACAGCTCCCCCGCCAGCACACCCAAGCGTGTGCCCATGGGCCCTATCATCGTCCCCCCTGGGGGCCACAGCGTGCCCAGCACACCCCCAGTGGTGACCATCGCCCCAACCAAAACCGTCAATGGCGTCTGGAGGAGCGAGAGCCGGCAGGTGAGTGGCCCGGGGCAGGGCGGGGCACCCGGCATCCTCTAAGGGTAGGTTGGATGCGGCATTTGTTGGGGGCTTTGGAGCTTTCAAGGTTGAGCTTAAATTCGGAAGACACAGCCCCCTCACCCTGAGCGTCCGTCTCCTTCTCTGCCACGTGGGGGTGACATCACCCGGCTGGAGGCCCTGTGCGGGTGAGGGCAGCGGCCCGCACATCAGTCAGAAGAAACCACGGGCTGGGGGCCGTCCCCAGTTACTGTCTCCTGTTCTGGAGGTCACAGGTTCGTGATGGGGGACTGGCAGGGCTGGCTTCCCCAGAGGCATCTCCTGGGTCGCTGCTGGCTGCCTTCTCGCTGGGTCATCTGTGGTGTCTCCGTGTCTGGGTGCTGATCTCCTCTTTTCGTGAGGACACCTGTCAGTTGATTTAGCGCCTACCCTGATGGCCTCATCCTGGTTTAATCGCCTCTTTGAAGACCTTGTCTCCAGTGCAGTTCCTTCTGAGGTCCTGGGCATTTGGGCTTTGTTTGACACGCAGACTTGGGCAGGGCTGGGAGTCCAGTTCAAGCTGTAATGCTGTGCCGTTGTAAGGGGGTGTTTGCAGAACACTTGGCAGACTGCAGCTGTGACTGTCATGGTCTGTGCACTGAACCAGGAATTGAGCCCGGAAGCCATCAGAACAAGACGTCTGCTGGGTTTTTTGTTTCTGTCTTACTCTGGGGCTCCCAGCAGAAGCCCCTCCCCCAGTTTTCAGGGCTCCTCATCTTAGTGGGCCCCTTCCCACTCGCTGGTGCTTGCCCACATGGAAGGAGCTGGCATTGGGAGCTGCTGTCTGCCCTGCCTGGGGCCCACACACCCTCAGGTGTTTCCCTGCGGCTCTGCATGTCTCCCCACTGCAGCTCCCCAGCGCCCCCATGCCCGCATGCAGCCTGGAGTGGGCCCTCCGTAACTAAGAACGATTCTCAGTGGCCGCTCTCGCCTGGACTTTTATGCTGAGTTCCGAGAGGGAAGCCCCACTTGGCAATGCTAATTAAACCGCAGAGAAGACGAGGAGGAAGGGGAGAGGGTGGCTGTCTCAGGGGGACGTGGGTGTCGGAGCCACCTGGTCATCACCAGTACCTGTCTCCACCCCCAGAGGTGGGAAGAGAGCCAGCCTCAGTCCACAGGTGACAGCCCTAGGCAGGCCCTGATCCAGGGTCCCTGTGGGGTCCCTAAGAGCTCTGGAGTGGGACCCCCGGGACCTGAGGTTACCTCTGCTGCTTTCCATGTCTTCTCTGGCTGAGGGGACAAACCTGCCTGGGGTCCTCACCTTGCTAGACCCCTCTGCCCTTGAAGCCTCTCTGTCTTAATTTCTCTTCCCCATGTGTGGTCTGGAGCCAGAGGGGCAGGGCGTGGCCTGGAGGGTAGACCCTGGCCAGAGGGGCCTCCACACCCCGAGGGGCATGGAGCAGCCCAAGGCAGCGCTAGTCCTGGTTTGAAAGAGGATGAGGGAGTTACCAGCTCCCTTGTCTCCAGAGGGAGACAGTCTTGACCCCAGGGACCCTGAGTCACCTGACGCAAACAGCCGAGGCTCCATGCACCCCCAGTGGTGGGGCCTGGCTGGTGGCACCAGGGCTCGCAGCTCACAGGAGGGTACTTTCCTGCCCCAGCCTGGACCAGGAGCCTCCACCGGCCGGGACCCCATTGCCAGCCACTGCCTTGAGCCCGACCAGAGCTCCAGGCTGAGGCCCAGGACACCTCAAGGAGGTTCCAGCGCCTTTGCCACTGACTCCTGTGCCCTGAGCTGGTCCCTCTCCTCGGAGGGGCTCCTTCCCGCCTCAGGAATATTCAGCAGCCCCAGAGCAGAGCGGGGGAGCGACAGATCTGCTCCGGCAGTTTACAGCCGCGGCACTTAATGGAACATGGTGCCGCTGGGGAGGGCTCGGGGACAGGAGCTGGATTAGCAGGTGATGTACAGCTCCTCGCTCAGGCACAGAGGCTCAGCGGGGAATTTAATCCTCTGTGGGAGCGGGGAGGCGGAGAGAGGATTCCCCTCCCAGAGCTGTGACTGGGAACTGTAGTGGCCTCTGAGGCTGCAGGTGCGAGCGGGGGTCACCGGACGGGAGGCTTTTTGGCCTCTTCCCAGGGGCTCCCCTGTCTCCCAGGTAGTAAGAGATGAAAAAGCCTATTTTAAAGCTAACAGGGCATGTCCTGCCTGTCTGACTGTGGAACCCTTGCTCTAATCACCCGAGAATGACGGATTTGCCTCCTCCCCGCAGCCCCCTCTGCCCCTCCTCCCCTCCCACCCCACCGCCTTCTTTCTTTCATCGTTGCAGCTGCGCCTGCAGCCGCTGCTCAGAAATGAAAAGCTGCCCGCAGATGCGCCGTGATGCGCCTATCTGTCAAGACAGAAGTGGGACCTTGGCCGCTGCTGTCGGGGTGCCTTGGGGTGGCTGCCGGGCCTCCCGGGCCTTTCCTAGGTGGGGGGCAGCTCTCTGCCTTGCTCCAGGCCCCGCTGACCTAGTTCCCAGGTGTCTGTGCCAGGCGTGGCCGGGTGCCAGCCAGACGGAAGCCACAGACGTGTGTCTGGCTTGCCGGGCCCCTGCCCTGCCTGCTGGCTGCCCCCCCACCCACCTCCCGGACTCCCTGTCTGTCCTCAGCCAGGCCAGGAAGGTGCCATCTGGCCTGGCCACTTGCAAGCAGGGCTTTGTCCTCAGCTGAGGGGAGAAGGGGTTCAAGGGTGTGTCTGGAGCGAGGAGCGGCCCCTCCCTGTGGCTGGGGCCCTGTGCTCTGCTGTTTGACATGTCCCACAGTGTGGGGAGCATGTGGAGGAGGGCGGCAGGCCTGGGTCCATCCTGGGGTCAAGGTCTGCCCTCCAGCCCTCTTCCGACTCAATCAGTTGGATGCCGATTGCCTGGGCTGTCGTCTCCCTCATGCCCTGGCCAGGGGAGGCCTCAGCACCAGCCTGGGAGAGGGAGCCCAGGTCCCCTTGGTGCCTGAGCAGGCGAGAGCACGTTCTGGGAGTCTGAAAGCCCACTAGCTTTGGGCCTGGTGTTGACTGGGGCACTACCTGGATGCTGGGGTCCAGGGGCCATTCCATCTTGTCCAGCCCATCCCAGCCCCTAGAGACAGGGCGTGTCCTTCCTTGCGACCCGGTCCTCAGCTGTTCAGTTCTGTGCCAGGTAGGGTAGAGGCGTGAGGGATGACCTAGAAGCCCTATCTGGAAGTGGCCTCACAGGGCCAGTGTGGGCGGCTGAGCCTGGCTACTCGTCTGCCCTGTCGGGCTCCCACCCTGCTGATGCATTCCCAGCTTGCCTGTGCCCAGCTGTGCCATCGACCCCACTGCCCTTTGAGCGGCTGCCGTGATGGGTACATGCCATTGATGTGTGCATGAGGCGTTCCAGGATGGCCAGGTCTCCTGATGCCAGGTTGGCCCCTCGGCCACTTCCCCGGTTGCTGACACAGGCTGGAGACCCCAAGGCCACGTGCTGGCCCCTGAGTTGGGGGGCGTCAGTGCCCGTGTGTGCCTCCCACCCTTGAGACCAGCACCCTGGAAGAGCAGGTCAGAGGTCATGAACCCAGGAGGACCCTGCAGAGAGTGGGGGCCCGGGCTGAGCCCTCGGGAAGGGAGCAGATGCTGCCTCTCATTGAAGATTCCAGGCAGCCGAGGCTCCTCCAATTAATCCTCACTGCCTGTCTCCTGGAGGGTGGAGCTTGGGAGGAGCCGGCCGGGCCTGGCTGTGCTGCCTCTGTGCGGGTACCATGTGTCACTGCCAGGTCACCGTCTGCCACCATGAAGATGGATAGGCCAGGAAGAGGGGCTGGCGGGTCAGGGACACAGCTCAGCTTCTGGGAGGCAGATGCCTCTCCGTGCTGGGGCAGATCTCGGCCCTGCACCGTCACTCCTGCCGATTTGGTGGGGCGACAGTCACAGGCCCCTTGTTTGCCGGGTATCTGGCATTTTGTAGCTCAGGGAGGCAGAGCAGAGCGCTGCCTGCTAATCAGCATTCGTTACCCTGATGTGGCCACATGGGATGTGAGGAAGGGCAGGGAGGCTCAGGGGGGTCAGTGTGGCCATGGCTCTCAGACACCCCCAGGTCGGGGTGGCGCTGGGGCTGAGAGCAGCTGCCCTGGCGATGGAGTGACGCCTTAGCACAGCCCCTGTCTGAGCCACCCTAAGCCTTGCCCCGCCCCTTCTTAGTCACACGAGTAACAGGAAGAAGCAAGGCTTTTCCCACTCTGGTTTCTCTGGGCCGGACTCTGCGTGGATGGGTCTGAGGGGGACGGCCCATTCTTAGACTTGGCGGGGACCTCAGCCAGGAAGGTGGGCCTTGGGCTACCGCCTCCTTCTGCTTTGTGCCTGGAGCAGACTCCTCATCTGAGTCTCCTGGGCCACCTTGCCCAACTAGGCCCAGGTCCATTTTCTGTCCAGGAGCCTAGGACGGGTGAGCTGTGGCCTTCCCTGTCCCACCGTGTGTGTGAAGGTCGGGTGCAGGCCAGTTACGGGCCAGCTGCTTCCTGTTCTGCTGGGCGCCAGGGCCAGGGCCACCCCAGGAGTTGGCTGGGAGCAGACCAGCACCTTCAGCCAGGGGGCAGTGCCAGCTTCTTATGGCCCCTGCCCTCCACATGGGCACCAGGGGCAGGACAACTGAGATGGGGGTGGGCGGCTGCTGGCACAGCTGACATCTTGCTTACATGACGGCACTCACTTCACAGCGTGCTAGGTGCCAACAGCATCCACTTCCCCGGATGTGGGCACCAGGGCAGGTAGAAGGCAGGAGCTCCTGTCGCCCCGTGTGCATCACCTGCGCACACTGTGGTTCTCAGTGGGGGGAAGGGGGTTCTACTTCTTCCACTGGCCTGAGGAGGCCCAGGGAGGGGGACAGGAAGGCCCTGAGACGGGCCTCACCCCATACCTGGCAGAGCCATGTCCCCTTCCTACGGTTCTACCTCCCACGTCACCTGCACCATGTTTTGTGTAGAAAGCCTTAGGGAAAGGATATTTCTAGAACCTGAGCTACATCCAGACCTGGCTCTGTCCTGTGTGCACTGGCCTGTACCAGCTCCTGCCCTGACCGGACACTCTCCTCTGCAGGACGCCGGCTCCAGGAGCAGCAGTGGCGGTCGGGAACGCCTCATTGTGGAGCCCCCGCTCCCCCAGGAGAAGGCAGGGGGCCCAGCCATCCCCTCGCACCTGCTCAGCACCCCCTACCCCTTCGGCCTCTCCCCGAGCTCGGTCGTGCAGGATTCCCGCTTCCCGCCACTCAAGTAAGTCAGCCAGTGGGGTCTTTGTGAGGCAGCCAGGCGGGGACACAGTCTTCAGGGTCTGGGTCCCCAGGCAGCCTGTGGTCTGTACCAGGTGAGGCTGGGCCCGCCAGAGGGTCATCGGCCTCTGCAGCCGCTCAGCCCCGGGGTTGGAGCCCTGTCTGTGCCCCTCCACGCTGAGGTGGTGATGGCAGCACACTGCCCACCCTGCTTCAGCTCCGTTCTGGTTCTGGGTGCCAGGAGTCTGGGTGCCGGCTGAGCGGCAGGGGGGATACCGGGAGGTTAGCCATCCCCTCAGCAGGAGCAGGTCTCCGCTTACCTGTTCCCACCTCGCCCACTGTCCTGGCCTGCAGCCTCCAGCGGCCTGTGCACCACGTGGTGCCCCCCAGCACCATGACCGAGGACTACCTGAGAAGCTTCCGGCCCTACCACACCGCTGACGACCTCCGCGTGTCCTCACTGCCTCCCCTAGGCCTGGACCCGGCCACCGCCGCAGCCTACTACCACCCCAGCTACCTGGCCCCGCACCCCTTCCCCCATCCGGCCTTCAGGTGAGGCGGCCCCCTCGTGCTCTCTCATCCAGGCACCAGTCTAAGCCTGACAAGACGGAGCCCGGCGGGAAGGTGTTTCTTACAGCCTGGAGGCCAGGCTCCCAGGGGAGTATCTAGAGTGGCCCCCAAAATCGTCCCCAGCTTTGAGCTCAAATTCAGCCCTGATGGCCCACTGGTGAACAGTCCCCTTGGTGACTGTGCCGTCCCTGTTGAGAACAGGGCTTTGCCTGTGGGAGGGGTGCTACTTGGCCATGTGGTGGGAGAGCCTGGGTCCTTGGAGAAGCTCCACACATCCTAGCCAGAGGGGCCTGTAGTCACGACACGGACCGCCCCACGTCAGGGCAGCCCAGCCTGCTGGCCGGCCTCGGAAGGGCCTGCGCGCTTGCTGACTCTCAGCCGAGGGAGGTGGCAGGTAGCGTTCTGGATCCCCAAGCTGTCGGCGCCCAGCGGCTTCTGGCATTAAAGGGATTTGGGGCTAATAGCAGGTGCGGCTTTCGCCTCCAGCCATTTTGCCACGTTCCCCACACTCAGGGAGGTGTGCGTACCTGGCCAAGGCGCACCTGTTGATAGGGCTGGGTCTACCCCTTGGTTTTAGGGTTTGGTGCTCACGGCCCTGTCTTCTCCACACAGGATGGATGACTCCTACTGCCTGTCCGCCCTGAGATCCCCGTTCTACCCCATCCCCACCCCTGGCTCCCTGCCCCCACTGCACCCGTCAGCGATGCACCTTCACCTCTCCGGGGTCCGCTACCCCCCCGAGCTCTCCCACTCATCCCTGGCGGCGCTGCACTCGGAGCGCATGTCCAGCCTCAGTGCGGAGAGGTAAGTGTGTCCCGGCCCGGGGAGCCCCTCTACCCTTCCTGTCCCTAGATGGCAGCGAGGCAGAAAGCCTGGGCTGGAGCCTGACTGGGGTCCTGGGCCGTGCCTGTCCCGTTTGTCCGCTTGCCAAATGGGACAGTGATTGTTGCGGTTCTGTGCTCTGAAACAGCGCCTGTCTCGGCAGCCGTAGACGCCTGCTCTAAGCCCATGGGCCGAGGCGCTCTCAGGGGGCGCTTGCGGGTGTTGTGAGCAGCTTTGATTGTATGGACCTTAAGTTCTTCTGCACCAGCAAAAGTGAGGGAGATGCTGCTCACCTCCCGTACAGTTTGGATCGGTGCCCTGGCTCATTCCTGGGCATGCTTTTTAAGGGCCTGCCCAGGTCCCCGTCTTGCTCCTGGCGCAGCACGGCCCCAACTCTTTGCACACACTGCAGGCTGCAGATGGACGAGGAGCTGAGGCGGGAGCGTGAGCGTGAGCGTGAGCGCGAGGCTGACCGCGAACGGGAGAAGGAGCGTGAGCGTGAACGGGAGGAGCGTGAGCAGGAGAAGGAGCGGGAGCGAGAGCGGGAGCTGGAGCGCCAGCGGGAGCAGCGGGCCCGGGAGAAGGAGCTGCTGGCCGCCAAGGCCCTGGAGCCCGCCTTCCTGCCTGTGGCCGAGCTGCACGGGCTGCGTGGCCATGCCACTGAGGAGCGGGCCAAGCCCTCGGAGCAGCTGACCCCAACCCGAGCAGGTACCTGGGCGCAGGTGGGCTGTGCCAGCCGAGGTCTCAGCCACCCATGGGGAGGAGCTCCGATCCGTAGCACGTGCCAGTCGTCATGGTGTAAATGCTCCCCTGCTGAGTTCACCCTAAAAGCCTGCCGTAGCTGAACACAGAGTAGGGAACAGAGGCACTTGGACACACGATACAGACATGGGTGTAGGCGACCCCACGAGCACAGTTGTGAAATGTAGCCAGGGTATTAGCAAAGAGTAAGTTTTGAGTGCTTTGTTAATTGTAATATAATTTATGTTCCTGTTCAGTTTACAAATAGCTGTTTAGTAGTAACAACCGGCTTTTGCATGTTTCCTGAAAATTTAACAGTCTGCTCTTTGAGCCAGTGTGAGCTGGCTCTGGCACCCCACTGGCTGGGCAAGACGTGCCAGCCAGCCATGGAGCGCCTCCTTCTAGAGACAAGGCATGCTTCCTGAAAGCTCCCATAAGGCCCTCTGGAATCTCTTGGTTCTGGCTGTGGGAAGAACCCTTTGGAAGGGTCTGGTTTCTCTGGGCAGTTGGGTGAGAGAGGCGGGGGATGGAGCATGCCAGCCCTCGTGGCTGAGACCCTGACGACTCTGCTTCCCCCCACAGAAAAGCTGAAGGATGCCGGCCTGCAGGCGCCCAAGCCCGTGCAGCACCCCTTGCATCCGGTGCCCACCGCACACCACGCGGTGCCCAGCCTCATTTCCAACCATGGCATCTTCTCTCTGCCAAGCAGCAGCGCTGCCACGGCCCTGCTGATCCAGCGCACCAACGAGGAGGAGAAGTGGCTGGCGCGGCAGCGGCGGCTGCGGCAGGAGAAGGAGGATCGGCAGTCTCAGGTGTCGGAGTTCCGGCAGCAGGTGCTGGAGCAGCACCTGGACATGGGCCGGCCCCCAGTACCTGCAGAGGCGGAGCACAGGCCCGAGAGCACCTCCAGGTGGGCCCGGGCAGCGGGTACTCACATGTGTGAGCCTGGGGAGGGAAGGAGGGATGAGCCTTCATGTTCAGATTTGTTCTGTGTGTATTGAGCACCTGCTGTTTGCCCGACGTCGCCCCAGCGTTTCTGCCTTCCTCTCTCATTTCTGCTCTTTCATGTTCACGTTACAATGCCTGTCTTGCCTGTGGGGAAGCTGAGACTGAGAAGGAAAATGGTTGCTCAGAGGTATCCCCACCAGTAAGTAAGGAGAGCAATCAGGTCCATGTTGAGAGCCAGGGCCCTGCCCATGCAGCCTGGACCCGCTCCCAGGAGGCCATTCACAGCAGCTGAGAGCGCAAGGTGGAAGCTTTAATTACTCATAATACCTGTTCTCTCCATCCTCCTCTGCTTTTGAGCCTCAGCTTTTTTTTTTTTAAAGAGAAGGGGACGGCTTTTGATTTTAAGGAAAAAATGAGTTTTATAGCTTTCGTATTAATAATAATTCCCATTTTCTAGCCCTTTATTCCCAGGAGACTTTGTGGCGGTGCCTGGGACCCCAGCTGCAGACACAAGTCTTACGAGCTGGGCCCGAGTGCCACCGAGCCTGCCTGCTCCTGCCCTGGTGCCGTGCTGCTCCCAGCTCCCGCCTCACAGCCCCCTGGGGCTCACTCTCAGCAAGAGTGGGTGGGGATGACCTGCCAGGCTTCTCTAGCTCTGGGACCTAAGGACACTGCTTCTGTTCCCTGAGCCTCGGTTTCCTCAACTGAGGAGAGTGGGGTGTTTTCTGAGCCTCTTTCCAGCTTGCAGGGCCGTGGTGCTGTCGTGGAATAAGAAACCCTCCGGCTCTGGGACGGGAGTGTGCTGCTATGTAAAATCTGCCCTCCCTTCCATTTGCCCCTTTGTCGAGTAGGGCAGCGAGGAAATGCATGCTGCTGATCAGGGATGACTGTCACCGGGCCCACCGCAGTCTCCCTGTGGCTCATGATGTCCAGCATGGCTGAAGGGAGGCCCCTTCTGCCAACTGTCCCTCTGCATCTCAGCCTCTCGCAGCCCCCACCCCCGAGGCCTCTCAGGCTCAGCCTTGCCTGCTACCCAGCAGACTCAAGGCAGCCAGCTCCCCGCTGGCATGGCCTGATAACATGGGGGTGCCCTGACTCCTGCAGGCATCTTCTTCCTTGGAGCTCCCTAGGGCCCCAGTACAGGTGTTGCGACTTCGCCCACCCATGGGCTGCTTCCAGCCAGGGCAGCTGCCCCATTTGGACCTGGGCACGGTGGGAAGCAGGGCCCAGGCCTCCCCTGGCTATGGAGGTTCTCCTGTGGCCGGCTGCACACACGTCCTTACAGCAAGCTGAGCGGGGTCCTCACAGGGCCCTCATGCTCCAGGCTGGAAAAGTGTCCCATGCTTGGTGTGGCACGTGCAATATTTATTCTCCTGCAGTTTTGATTCCTTTGCTGTTCACTTAAGGACAGGCCTTCTTCCCGTGCTTCCCTGTTGTATTCTCCTAAGAGGGGCGGCAATGCTGGATCTGTCCCCAGCCTTGAGTCTGGAATTACTAGGGAGGGCCTTGGTGGCTGTGTTTAAACAGCACCGGGGCAGCCTGGCCAGGTGCCTGCCATGGCCTCTGTTTCTTCCTTCCCCTCAAGCCTTGCACAGGGTCACTGGGGAGTACTGGTCCAAACATCCTGTGAGTTTATCTTCCTTTACAAAAAAGAAAGCCAGGCACAGTGACACGTGCTTGTAGACTCAGCTGCTCTGGATGCTGAGGTGGGAGGATTGTTTGGGGCAGTAGTGTGCTGTTACCTATTTGATATCCAAGGCAAGTCCAGCACCAATGCAGTGACCTCCCAGGAGCAGAGGGCCACCAGGTTGCCTGGTGAAGGAGGGGTGAACTGCCCAGGTTGGAGATGCAGCATGTCAAAACTCCCATGCTGATCCGTAGTGGGATTGCACCTGTAAATAGTGACTTCGCTCCAGCCTGGGCAATACAGCGAGACCCATCTCTATAAAAAAAAAATAAAAAGATAAACTTTGGAAAAACAATACTAAAAATAGTCCTTTGAATAGATTAAATCTTGGTTTAAATGCACATAGAGAAACAAGTCATTTAGTGCAACTAAGGGGCAGCTTCTTGTTTAATGGAAGGGCTCCGATATTAGAAATCCCCTTCTCCCTCCCTGCCTCAGCAGGCCTTAGTCTAGGTCTTTGAAGACACTTTGTTTCGGGCCTCTGCCACTGGCCACTTGGGGTCGCTGCAGTTCTAACGGGGGCCACTGCGGAGCAGTCTGGACACAGGCCCCATCCTGGCACTTCACTGTTGGTTTTGGCTCTGGGTTGGGCTGGGCAGGCACTGGAAGGTTGTGGCTTATGGCTGCCTGCAAGGGCAGTGGGGAGGGAAGAGCACTGGCCTGGTGCACGTGGCCAGCCTGCCTTACAGGGCACAGCAGGAGGAAGGGACCGGTAGCAGGGCCGCAGCCTCGCACAGAGTGGGTTTCCCATGGAAAATGAGGATGACGCTTGCCCTTGGGGGGATTTGCACAAGCAGGGTGGGAAACTCAGCACAGTTGGGTCTGTCCTGGGCCCAAGCGGGTCCGCCTTCCCGAGCAGTATAGGCTTAGCAGTATAGCCTCCCTGACCTGTTGGAGCGGCCTGCACATACCTGCCACGGGTGTTAAAAGAGGAAATGGAGGGCCTTGCCTGGTGGCTCACTCTTGTAATCCCAGCACTTTGGGAGGCCGAGGCAGGTGGATCACTTGAGGTCAGGAGTTCGAGACCAGCCTGGCCAACATAGTGAAACGTCGTCTCTACTAAAAATGGAAAAAATGAGCAGGGTATGGTGGCACACACCTGTAATCCCAGCTACTTGGGAGGCTGAGGCGGGAGAATCAGTTGAACCCAGGAGGCAGAGGTTGCAGTGAGTTGACATCACGCCACTGCACTTCAGCCTGGGTGATAAGAGCAAAACTCCATCTCAAATAAAAGAAAATGGAGGACGGAAAACATGGTCCTTGGGGTAGGATGTGTGCCCTCTCCCTGCAGCCCTGCCGGCAGCGGCTGTCTATGGGGCTGTGCCATCTGGGTCGTCTTAGGAGCGCAGGCTGCTGGGGAAGCCCATGGAGGGCTGAGGGGTCTTTTCTCCCTGACTGATGGGTTGGTCTCACTCCCTAGGCCAGGACCGAACCGTCATGAGCCAGGTGGCCGTGACCCTCCGCAGCACTTTGGGGGGCCACCACCTCTGATTTCACCCAAGCCCCAGCTCCACACTGCACCTACAGCCCTCTGGAACCCCGTGTCCCTGATGGACAACACCTTGGAGACACGGCGCCCTGAGAGCCACCCTCTGCACAGCCACCCGGCTGCATTTGAGCCTAGCCGCCAGGCAGCCATACCACTGGTGAAGGTGGAGCGGGTCTTCTGCCCAGAGAAAGCGGAAGAGGGGCCACGGAAGCGTGAGCCTGCCCCCCTGGACAAGTACCAACCACCTCCGCCACCACCACCACGAGAGGGAGGGACCCTGGAACACCAGACCTTCCCACCCGGGCCTGGGCCCTTCCTTGCTGAGCTCGAGAAGTCCACCCAGACCATCTTGGGCCAGCAGCGGGCCTCCCTCCCACAGACAGCCACCTTCGGGGAGCTCAGCGGACCCCTGAAGCCTGGCTCGCCCTACCGGCCCCCAGCACCACGGGGCCCTGACCCTGCCTACATCTACGATGAGTTCCTGCAGCAGCGCCGGAGGCTGGTCAGCAAGCTGGACCTGGAGGAGCGCAGGCGGCGGGAGGCCCAGGAGAAAGGTCTGCCGCCCCGAGGGCCCCAACCTGCTCAGGGGGAGCGGCACAGTGGGGAGGGGGAGCCTGCGTGCCAGCCACCAGCCCCTTGTGCTTTCTGCCTGGGGTAGTCCCAGGCTCCACGTGGCAAGTGCGCTGGCTTCTGTGTAGCAGCTTCACACCCCTGTAGGGGAGATAGACCCTAGGCCCCATGCCTGTCCTGCCTCTGTGCAAATTGTCCCAAAAAGCCAAATCAAAGCCTGCCTGTAAAGACAGTTCTGCAGACATGCACGATGAATAAGTGATGAGCAGAGACTAATAAGATGGTTTTAAATATTAATAGTGCAGCATAACAGGAGTGCCGGCCTGGGCCCAGCAGGGACTCCACATCCAGGGCTGTCTGCAGCAGGTGGGCCAGGGCGGGGAGGAGGTGGCAGCTGGCACTGTCCCGGGTCAGGGCAGGAGGTCAGGCACCTCATTCCCATTTCTCCTTGGGGCGGAGAGTCGTCAGCCGGCACTCCCCGAGAGAGCCAGGAAGAGCATCTGGCAGTCTTGGTTGTGAGGAGAGCAGGGCTCCAGCCCCGTCTCTTTCCTATGCTGGACACTCGGTCCCGTCCCATGCCGAGCTCACCTGCCCCTTCACTAGAAGCTGGGGCACAGGCCATCTTCCTGGTGCGCGGAGGCTGGATGGAGGGCCCGGCTAGGCTTCTCTCCCCTACTCACTTAGGAAAGGAGGAGGGGGCTACCCCAGTGCCCCTGGGCAGGGGCTCTGCCGTTGTCTGTGCATTTGAGAGCAGGGGCCTGTGCTCCTTGGACCCAGACGGCCACAGCAGGGGGGAGTGCATGTGCACAGGAAGCGCTATGTTGCCGTGGACATGGCCCCAGGCCTGTGTGATGGATGGTCCCTGCCAGGGGGAGGAGGGAGGTCTTGCCAGCCCAGCGGACCGCCTAGCCACTTGGAGGCCTCTGAGGGCCCTGGATCCCAGGAAAGCCTAGTGTCTGCGGTCGCGCAGAGCCCTAGGACTGGGTTAGTGGTGGCTTCCACCTGGGTGGAAAGGAAGTGGCCTTCGGGGTGCTCAGGTTCCAGCAGGCCTGGCCTGATGGGTGGGTTGCAGTTATGTGGCTGGAGGGCATGTCCACTGGACAGATGAAGGCTCTTTGTCCAGCTGAATACAACCATTTTTCTTCAGGGTACTACTACGACCTCGATGACTCTTACGATGAGAGCGATGAGGAGGAGGTCAGAGCCCACCTCCGCTGCGTGGCCGAGCAGCCGCCCCTCAAACTGGACACGTCCTCCGAGGTACTGGGCTCTCCTCCCCACAGACGTACGCTGGGCTGGGCCGGGCCCCCACATCAGTGCCTACCTCCCAGCTTTCACACCCGCAGCCCTTCCCACTGGTTCTAGGTTCCTCTAGAAGTCCTGGCGGGGTTGGTCCCACCAAGCTCCTCTGTAGCCAGGCACAGCCAGCCATGGCACACAGACTTCGAGGACCCCAAGAGGGGGGCCCGGGACAATGAAAGAAGACCACTGCCAGTGGCTTCCAACTCCTTTGTTTTCTTTCCCAATCTAGAAGCTAGAGTTTTTGCAACTTTTTGGCTTGACCACCCAACAGCAGAAGGAGGAATTGGTGGCCCAGAAGCGGAGGAAGCGGCGGCGGATGTTGAGAGAGAGAAGCCCGTCACCCCCCACGGTTCAGAGCAAGCGGCAGACGCCTTCACCAAGACTGGCGCTGTCCACCCGCTACAGCCCTGATGAGATGAACAACAGTCCCAACTTCGAAGAGAAGAAGAAGTTCCTGACCATCTTCAACCTGACCCACATTAGCGCCGAGAAGAGGAAAGGTGGGGCCTCACCGGGGTAGGAAGGTGGGGGCTCAATGGGGTGGGCGTGCATTTCTGTAGCAGCAGACACCAGGCAGGATCTGGGATCACTCGGCTGGAGGCTGCCCCTTCACTCTTCCCAGCTCCCGGGGACAGCCTGTGCTCGTGGAAGCTCTCCGCAGCAGCCCTTACCTGGCAGGCTTTGCTCGGAGACCCCCCACTGTCTTGAGCTGAGGACTACCTTTGTCACTCATCCATCTCCTGGCGCCCGAGAAGGTGCTCTTTGAGCCGAGTGTGCCAGTGACTGCACAAGGCATGAGGGAAGGTGCCCGGCGTTCGGGTTCATCTTGCTGCAGGCTTTTTCTCTTGCTGGACTACTCAGGTGGTCAGCTGGGCGTTGTGTCTTGGTGGCTAGAGGCCTGGGGAAGCTGCCAGGCAGCGCAGCACACACTGAGCAGATGGCTTGCCTTGAAAGATGCTTCCAGTTAGTCTGGCCACACAGGGACACGTTGGGACAGATCCTCTGGGCTGGAGTCCACACAGCAGAAGAGACAACGCAGCTACAACCCCCACTTAGTGTTTTGACTTCCCTGGCCTGTGACGCAGGCTGGTTCTGTGCCTGCATGGTGACGTTCCTGGCCCTGCCCCTTGGTGAGCCTCCAAGTCTTCAGGGATCCCTGGCCTCCGCTGTGAGAGAAAGTGAAAGGAAAGCAGAGTTACCTTGAGGTCTTTTCGCTGCTTCAAGGTGTCTGTCAGGGTGCAGCCATTTCCTTTCTGCTTTGTACCAGTCAGGAGGTGTTCTTTCTCTTCTCGGGCTGATGCCGTGTTGCTTGCCGGCCCAAAGTCCTAGATGCAAAGCATCTTTTGACGTGGCTGCATTTTTACAGGAAAAAAATTCAGGGCAATGCAGCCCTTAAGTGTCAGAGTCAACAAGGGCCGTGTGACACCAGGAATCTGCTCTGTATAACAGCATGGGGTCATCTTTCTTTCTCAGGAAGTGCCGGGAGGGGGCCAGGAGACGGCACCCTGCCTCCGAGGCTAGGCCTGGGCCTTTGGGGCATTTCCTGGTGTTGGGGCCACCTTTTCTCACTTGAAATAAAATACATCCTCACACACCACCACTGAGGTCCGTGGGCACAGTGTTTAACAGAGATGTAATCACTGCATAGACAGCTGTCTTTCGAGCACGTCTAAGACTTTGTGTAGTGGATGCGTGTTAGTCTGGGCTCGCTGTAATGTGGTGCCTTCTTTTAAACTGGGCCTGCCTCGTCGCACCTGCTTTTGGTTTTTCTGGCTTTAGCACTTTACCTGCCCATCAGGGCTCTGCTAGAATCCCACCATCTTTCCCTCCAAAAAAAATGATGCAACTGGCTCGTTAATCTTAGGCTGCTTTTCCCATAGACAAAGAGAGACTTGTTGAAATGCTCCGTGCCATGAAGCAGAAGGCACTGTCACCAGCAGTGGCCGGCTCCTTGACAAACTCTCCGAGGGACAGTCCTGCCGTCTCCCTGAGTGGTAAGGGAAGGATAGCCCCACCTGCTACCACCCAGGATCATCCTGAGGGCTGCCCCGGCTTGGAGGCAACCACTCGAGGTCCTCGTTGTCAAAGTGGCCTCCTGCCGACTGTCTTCTGCCATTCTTCTTGCACAAGTGTACCATCCTTGCACAGTTGTGACGGTCCTGCGGACACAACATCAGTTTGAAGGCGGGCTCAGAGTTGAGGGGAGGGTCTGGCTTCTGTGGAGCTCAGTGTGAGGTCCAGTGTGGTGGTAGTAACCTGTCCTTCAGTCATAGCACAGCAGGTCACACGGAGCCCACTCCAGTGGCCCCATCCCAGGAGGGTGGGCGTGCTCTAGGCTCTGCCTGTGCCCTGGTCCTGCCACTGGCCTGCCTGCCCTGGCTCTCCTCCTGCATCTTCGTCTTACTCACTCTGCCCTCTGGGCCCCACCGGCACCTCCTGCCCTGCTTTCCTCCTCTTACATCTCTAGTCGAGCGACCTCTGTCCTGTCCAATGTCGCAGGGAATCTTTATAGTTCATCCCAGTTCTCGGCTCCACACGCAGTCTCTCGTCTGATTGGAGTGAATCCCTCTCTCTCGCAGTCCCGTGGCTGGGGGACTTACTTCTTCCTACGGATCTGTTTTTCTTGGGATATCTTTCAAGGATGGACTTGCCACCAAACACCACCGTCTTCAGAGCGGAGCCACGTGCGCAGCGGTTATTTACATGTTCCCTGGGTGTTGGTTCTTTGCACTAAGTCTTTATTAAGAATAAGCTCTAGAGATGGGGATCTGCGTGCTTGACCCTCAGCCTGTTAACTTGCATCTCTTAATGTTTTCCTTCACTTTCTGTCTCTAAAAGAACCAGCCACGCAGCAAGCCTCTCTGGACATGGACAAGCCGGTTGGTGTTGCTGCTTCCTTGTCTGACGTCCCAAAGGCCGCGGAGCCTGGGAAGCTGGAACAGGTCCGGCCCCAGGAGCTGTCAAGAGTCCAGGAGCTAGCTCCTGCCAGTGCGGAGAAGGCCAGGCTGAGTGAGGGCCCTGGAGGCAAGAAGAGCCTGAGCATGCTTCACTACATCCGGGGCACTGCACCCAAGGACATTCCTGTGCCGCTGTCTCACAGCACCAATGGGAAGAGCAAGCCATGGGAGCCCTTTGTGGCGGAAGAGTTTGCCCATCAGTTCCACGAGTCAGTGCTGCAGTCCACCCAGAAGGCCCTGCAGAAGCATAAAGGTAATGAGGCTGGCCCCAGTCCCTGAGCGGCCACAGCTGCTTAGCCGTGGGCACCAATTTTTATAAACTCCAATCCCCAGAAGAAAATAATGTTGTTAGTATGCCAAAACCATGTTTGTTTGTTTTACTCCACACTCTAAAAGCTGAACATGTAGGTGAAAAGCATTTTTAGGTGCCAGCACTGATGCTGTGCTGTGAGCAGGGGTACATCGATCCGTAAGAGGTAACAGCAAGGAGAGCAGCAGGCACTGGTTTTTGCTGAGATTAAGAAAGGTTCCCCAAAGGCAGGAAGAGTGCGTGATTGGATTTTTACCAGCATTCATTTGAAAGAATCGTGTTTTTCAAGACAAAATGTTCAACTAGATTCAGATGGCCGCTACTCCTCAGGGTAGAGAGTCCCTTCCTTCCTGGTGGTATGTAAAGATGTCACCTCCGGCCCTCTGGATCCATGGGTTCCACGTGTTTGGATTCAACCAGCTTCAGATTAGACATATTTGTGGGTGGGGTGGAATTCCACAACATTCCAAAAGCAAAACTTGAAATTACCAAGCACCAGGTACTACATTGAATCCATGCAGATCAGGTGAAGTAGGGGCAATATATTAGGTATGACAAGTAATCTAGGTACAAGTATAGGCGGTATACTGGGTGTTACATTGTATCCATGTAGGCTCTATGCAGGTACTATGCTGTTTTCCGTTAGGGACTTGAACCTCCTTAGCTTTTGGTATTCACAGGAGGTCCTGCACTGCAGCCTGGGTGACAGAGTGAGACTCTGTCTCAAGAAGAAGAAAAATGGAGGCTCAGAGATGAATTTCATCAAAATGGTCCACGTACCAGGATCGACTGGTACTCAGCGCTGCTCTGTGTCAGACGTTGTCATGCTGGGTCTGTGGCCCAGAGACTGTTGGCTAGATTCCCTCCTCTTTGCTCAGTGTCACGTTGGTCCCTAGAGACCTGCAGTCATGCTGACTCTGCAGCAAAGGCAGGGCAGAGCTTGAGACAGCACCCTGTGTCCCTACCCTCAACACACTGATGTAAGCCCTGTCCCTTCTGCAGGGAGCGTGGCTGTGCTATCCGCAGAGCAGAACCATAAGGTCGACGCGTCTGTCCACTACAACATTCCCGAGCTACAGTCCTCCAGCTGTGTCCCTCCACCCCAACACAATGGGCAGCAGGAGCCCCCCACTTCAAGGAAGGGCCCCCCAACGCAGGAGGTGGACCGGGACTCGGAGGAGGAGGAGGAAGAGGATGAAGATGGAGAAGAGGATGAAGAAACCCCCAGGCGCAAGTGGCAAGGGATTGAGGCCGTTTTTGAAGCTTACCAGGAACACATAGAAGGTATGGCATTGGGAGGGAAGAGGGGAGGGAGTAAAGGACCTTTGGAAAGGAAGCTGAGTGACAAGTTCATGCAGACTTTTGCCAGCCTGGGGACTGTTCCTGCATCCTGAGGCACAGTAGATATAAATACTGGAAGGTTCCTCCGGCTTCTGGTAGTGGTGATGCCCCATGGTGGAACCTGAGGCCAGTCTTACTGGGGCATCAAGCACCAAGATGCCAACTTTCGTGGCACCTGTCATTCTTCATGTGGGCCCTGCTCTCGGAGCAGTTGGCCGATTTGCTGAGCTCCAGCAGCTAGGCCTGGTTACTGCTTGAGCATGCCTCCTGCCTAGCTGTAAGGATTACTCTGGGGCCAATGGGTACCAGTAACGTTTCAGCTACCTTTACTTTAGCCAGGTGCTATGCGAGGGGGAGACAGGCTCCTGCCGAAGGCTTAGTCGAAGGCTCACCACCTGTCTAAATACCCAGGATGTTTTGATCCCCCCTCGGAATGTACATGCCAACCCTCCCCCATCCGCCGCCCCCCCCCCCCCCCCCCCCCCCCGGAAGCCACAGCACCAGGCAGACTCTGCCAGGGAGTAGAACCATGAAACTGGCTGCCGCAGTGTTTGATCCTTCTGTATACAGCAGCCCACCTCCTGCCTCTAATGCCTCAGTTACCCGAGGATATGGCCAAGGCCCATTTGGCTTGGCACACAGGTGCCCAGCCTTCATTTTGCACTCGCCATCCTTACTGTATGGGCACTGCTGGGCAAGGGTGCAGCCACCTGCAAGTGATTTATTAGCATATCCTAGATGATTTTTTCTCATCATGTATTATAGTGTTATAAACGTAAGGACTTGATTACGAATGTCAACCTTCTCAAATACGTTGAAAAGTAGTTTTTTTGTTTTGTCTCTTGCCAGAACTCACTTTCGAAAAGTGTTCTCCAAACTAAAAAAAACAAATGCCTGTGTAGCCACAACCAGGGCATCAAATCCTGTATTTGGCTTCCTTTCTTCCTCCCATGGAATCTTTCCAGTTT